AAGATGTCAGCTTGAGGACTAAGGTACGCCTGACCCAAGCCATGGTATTTTCAATAACCTCATATGCATGTGAAAGCTGGACAGTGAATAAGAAAGATGTAGAAGAATTGATGTTTTTGAGTTATGGTGTTGGAGGAAAATATTGAAAGTGCCATGGGCTGTCAAATGAATCAATAGATCTGTGTTGGAAGAAGTGCAGCCATAGTGCTTGCTTCTTAGAGGCCAAGATGGCCAAACTTCGTCTCCCATACTTCAGACATATTGTCAGGAGGGACCAGTCATTGGCGAAGGATATCATGTTTGGTAAAGTGGAGGGTCAGATAAAAAGAGGAAGACCCCCCCAATGAGATGGATTGGCCAAGTAGCAGCATCGATGAACTCAAGCGTGGCAACAGTAGTGAGGTTGGCCCAGGATTGGCCAGTGTTTCATTCTGCTGTGCATAAGGTCACTGAGTCGGTAGTGACTCAATGGCACCTAACAACAACAAGGTCCCCAGCAGAAGAGAGAGTCCCTCCCACTTTATCCATATTATTGGGAGCAGGCAACATTCCCAAGGAAACATCCTTTCAATTGATTGGTTGCTGCTAGCCACTCATCATAGAGTTAACTGTACCTGTATTAGGTTACATCACTATGGGAATAAGTACATCCCAATTGCTAAACCTTTGGAAATCCTGGCCTAGTCATACGGACATGAAACCCTAACTATTGCAAGGATGTTGCCACGAACTCTGGATACCTGATTTCTTCCTATTGTGTGAGAAAAATCCAGGTTTGACCCATATAACCAAAGGCAAAAAGTGTGAGACTGTATGGCATATTTGGAAAGCACTGCACAATGAGGTGTGGTTGAATAAATTATACATTTATCTGCATAGTGAGGTGTGGTTGGATAAAATATACCTAGAGACTGAAAAGACAAGATTAGGCCTATACAGAGTGCCTTACATTCATGCGTATACAATGAAGTTTATCCAGTAGGCATGGGGAGCCACTGAAATATTTTTGAGGAGTTTAGCTACAGTATCTAATTTGTATTTTAAGAAGATAAGGCTGGCATGAGTGTGAAGGGTGGGTTGCAGAGTATCTTGCTTAAAACATGCTATGGGAAAAACCAGATCTTTCCGTCATTCATGTAGGAGCTATGAATAATAATACGTTAGCTACACTACATGCTATTTTTCACCAGAGGGTATCAGTTCAACCACAAGCTCCATTAATTATCTCAGTGAAGGGTCAGATAGCCTCTCCATTAAAAGTACATGATAGCTGGACTCTAGGTAAAGACTTTGAATTAAATTCACAGCTAGTCAATGTGATCAAAAGCTTAGATTAGACCAACTATTTATGGGAGATAACCTGGAAGATATGTAGAGCATTCTTTTCTCCCCAAATCACCAGGATGGCATACCTATACTGAAACATCTTGGCCTTCTTCATTCTACTCCTTTGTTGTTGTTAAGTGTTGTCAAGTCGGTTCCAACTCAGAGTGACCATGCATAGGGGTTCCAAGGAGGAGCTGGTGGGTTTGAGCTGCCGACCTTGTGGTTAGCGGTCCGGTACTGATCCAACAGCACCACACCAGGAGTCTATCGTACTCCCTAACCTTAAATTATTCTCTTTGACATGTGCTTTAGTTTTGTGGCATCAGCCTGTGGGAAAGGACTTTGTGTCACTTAATGCAGTATCTAGGTACAGATGTGATTGATGACATATATTGCTCACTGTGTTATACAATAAATGGATAGTTTCCTTATTAAGAATCAGCATACAGCTAGATCCTATAAGGTGGAGGTTAAAGATGTCCCAAATGTCCAACTTCTTCAAGCTACTGAACTGCTCTATCACCTAACACCACCTGCTTCCCCTCCCCTGTTTGGATTCTGTGTTGCACTGCAATGTTTCACAGAACTCATAAGCTATACTTACAGTTAAGTGGTTTACTGGGGAAGTAACAGGATACAACTCAAGGGACAGGATCTATTTCATCAATCAGCACAGCTTCTCGTCAGGACAGTTGCAGCACCTTCTCAGCAATGCCCTCTGCTGGCTTTCTCTTAGGCCTCTTCTCCTGGTGCTTCCTTGGCCCTCTGTGTTAGAGCTCTTCTGACTTCATGAATAGCTATAAGAGAGCAGTCAGCTGTCTGTTTATGGGCTAGCAGCCCCAGTACGGTTGTCTGCTGTCCCTTGGTTCTCATACTTGTACGCTACTGATTGTACTGCTGTAGTGTCTGCTGCCATCTTTTGCCATCTCTTCCCATCTTCACTGTTACTGCTTGACCTATATTACAGCTCTTTTAGGAAGTTTCCACCTGCTTGTTTCCATGTGTCTCTCTAAAAAGCCTCTGCAGATTCACTGCTTATAAGCCAGCTTCTTATTAATTTCAAGGCATGACCCTTTACAGGGTGATCAATTCTCACAATAGATCACAGCCACCTAATTTGCATAGTAATCAACCAATTTGTGCCAATCCTATTAGTATGTTCAACCATTTCACAAAGTAGCATATGATCAAGAGCCAGTGGTATAGAAGGAAAAACTCCACAGTATACTGAAGGCAAAGACCAAAGCTCTGGGAATTGATGGGATGCAGATTGGAATCTTTCAACAAACTGATGGAGCACTAGAGGCACTCACTCATCTTTTCCAAGAAATTTGGAAGACAGCTACCTGGCCAACTGATTAGAATATATCCATATTTGTGCCCATTCTACAGAGAGGTAACCCAGCAGAATGTGGAAATCATCAGACAATATCATTAATGTCACATGCAAGTAAACTTTTGCTCAGTATCATTAAAAAATGACTGTAACAGTACATTGGACTGAGAACTGCAATAGGTTTAAGCTGGATTCAGATAAGGACCTGAAACAAAGGATATCACTGCTGATGTCATATGGATCTTGGCTGAAAGCAGATAATACTAGAAAGATGTTTACCTGTGCTTTATTGACTGTGCAAAGGCTTTTGACAGTGTGGATCATGCAAGCCTATGGACCACATTGCGGAGAATGAGTATTCCAGAACACTTAATTGTGCTCATGAGCAACCTGTACATAGATGAAGAAGCAGTCGTTTGAACAAAACAGGAAATGTGTGTGCCAGGATTGTGTTCTTTTACCATACTAGTTCAGTCTGTATGCTGAGCAAATAATCTGAGAAGTTGCATTATATGAAGAAGAATATTACATCAGGATTGGAGGAAGATTCATTAGTAATCTGTGATATGCGGATGATACAACCTTGCTTGCTGGAAGTGAAGAGTACTTAGATACTTAGTTATGAAAATCAAAGACCACAGTCTTTAGTATGGGTTGCACCTCAATGTAAAGAAAACAAAAATCCCTACAACTGAATCAATAAATTATATCATGAAAAATGGAGAAAAGATTAAAGTTGTCAAACTCTTCATTTTGATTGGGTCCACTATCAACACTCATGGAAGCAGCAGCCAGGAAATCAAATGACATACTGCACTAGGTACATCTGTTGCATAAGACCTCTTTAAAGTGTTCAAGAGCAAAGCTGTCCGTCTGAGAACTAGTATGGTATTTTCAGTAACCTCGTATGCATGCAAAAGCTGGACAGTGAATAAGGAAGACTATAAAAGAATTGATACTTTTGAGTTATGGTGTTGGAGGAGAATATTGAAAGTACCCTGGGCTGCCAAAAGAACAAACAGATCTGTGTTGGAAGAAGTGCAGCCAGAGTGCTCCTTGGAGGCCAGGATGGCCAAACTTCATCTCTTGTACTTTGGACATATTGTCAGGAGGGACCAGTCATTGGAGAAGGATATCATATTTGGTAGGGTGGAGTGTCAGAGAAAAAGAGGAAGACCCCAGTGAGATGGATTGGCAAAGCGGCAGCAACAATGGGCTCAGGCGTGGCAACAATTGTGAGGTTGGCCCAGGGCTGGGCAGTGTTTCGTTCTATTATGCATAGGGTTGCTATAAGTCGGTCCCGACTCGATGGAACCAAATAACACCACCAACAGTTCTGTTCAAATGACTGCCACTTGGCTGATGTACATGTTTCACAATTAATTGTTCTTGAATAGTCATTCTTTACAATGTTATCCATAGTTCATCATGATCCACACAGTCAAATGCATTTGCAGAGTTAATAAAGCACAGATAAACATCTTTCTGGTATTTCTCGATGGCGTCTAACAACAACAACATGTGTGAACTGGAACCCAACTAACAATACTTTTGTACTTACCCTCATATTGCTTGTATGTTGTTAAACGCCATTGACTCATTGCAACCCTATATAGAATTTCCAGTGAGTGGCTAAGTGAGTTTGAACTGCAGACCTTGCAGTTACCAGTCCAGTTCTTTTCCTACAGCGCCACCTCAGGACTCTCGTATATATTACTACATATCAATTGTAGGCTCTTTTAACAAGCTTTTATTTGATTTTGCTTTAAGACTATCAAGCTTTTGCCAAGAAAGAATAATGTATGCTGTCCATCAAAATAAACAAGTGAAAAAAATCATCCCAAATAGCTTATTGAACAATCCTATTCTCAGTGGAGAGTGTGGTGGCCCCATATGATAATAATTGAACTGTGAACCACAATGTCTGCAGTTCGAGCCCGCCAGCTGCTCCTTGGGAGAAAGATGAGGCTTTCTGCTCCTACGAAGATTTTTAAATCTGAAAAACCCTATATAGAGTTAGAATCAACTCGACAGCACTTAACAACATCAGTTCTCAGTAACTGTTAATTGTGTAGTCTTAATGTTTTTATAATCTTGTTCCAGGGTCTAATGGCTATTGATTGTCCATATACTGGCATTGTGGACTATCGGCAAGTAGCTTTGTCATTTGCCCAGGATTTCCAAGATGCAGGTGGCTTTGTTTTGACAAATTTTGAAGTAAAAGATATTGAAATGGCTAAAGAAAGCCCTTCAGGAAGTCAAGATGGTAAGTCATGCTTGTCTTTTCTTTTGAATATTTGTACTGACTTTTTAAAAAACTTGGATGCATAAGCTTAGATTTTTGGTAGGCATATCACTGTTATCCTATCATAGTGCCTATGCCAGGGCAAACTAGACCCATACCATAACCTAGACTCCTTGCCCATAGGCTGTGGGCACTGAAGCAAGTTGCACAGCAGGGAAAAAACAAAAAAAATGGGTAACACTGGTGGGACCACCACGAGCTAGGCTAGAGTAGGGCATAGAGCTGGAGGGAGGGTGAGTATGAGATTGGACATTGTTCTGTTAGATCTTATTCTGTTAGAACTAAAAACTGAATCAAAACTTCTGACTGGTGTTAAAAGCAGAGCTGCCTAGGGTGTGTATAGGAAATTAGCCCCCAAACACTTCTCTACCCTACAGATTAGAGTCAGAATCCACTGGGATAAAGATTTTAGCATTACCTCAATTTTCTGAAGCAGGCTGGGGATAAGGCCTAGGAATTTTTGACAGCCCAAGGTCATAAAATGACTACACCCTACTTTTCATACTGAAGCTTAATCTAACTTATATAATTAAGCCAGTCCATACTTGATCATTTTTTTAATTCTGGCATGCTCTTTTTAAGCTCATGTTATTTTACTTAATCGGATCTATGCTTATACAACCACTTTCCCACCTCAGTTCCCACATAGGCAGTCCAGGCATGTCTCTGAAATAAAATACTGAAAACATTAGTGTAAATGACAGTGCTTATTACCTATAAAACTTTACTTAACTAACATTTTTGTTTATCATCTTAGAATTTCCAAAGAGACTGGGAAAAAGATTCAGATGGTCCATAGCTCCTTCAAAACATGTCTGGAAATACTGAACCATGGAGTACTTCTTTTCTCCTTTAAATTTCCTAGTAGTGAACAGTAGGTTACCCGACATTCACTGGTTTTTTTAAAAAATTGTTAATGCCTCCAAAGCAAAATAAAGTCTAAGAATAGGCCAAAAAAAAAAAATCATTTAAATTTGTTACTAGTATATTTCAAATAGTTTAGGGCTTGTTTTGCTATAAATAAATATTTCACTGATTATTTTTTTTTCCACCCCCAGGGATGAAATATCCAATTGTTATTAGGAATACAAAGGTAAAGATTCCTAAGAAAAATTGTTATCTGCTGTAATCTTCTTCCGTTTCTTAAAAAGTTAATTTAACTGACAGCGCTGATTATAAGTCATTGAATGAAATTTGTCTAATGTGAAAGTTATTCCAAGAGAAACTCTTTGAAAACAATATAACAGATTTCATTCTAATAAAAATTTCAACTAGAGAGTGTGTTCATAAGTGGCTGATAAGAATAGAACTATATGTACATGGAAGGTTTAATTTTAAGGCAAAATTGATATTTTAATTGTCTACTGATCCACATTAACTTAATGACTCTCTAATAACTAGAAGATTTTTAGGTGGAGAGTATACTAAGAGAAAATAGACTGCTTTTCTACATCTCTGTACAGTCTGAAACAAGAAAAACACTGATTGGCATAGAAGTATTGCATTCCCTGTATGCCACTGCATCATCAGGGGTCAGTCAGGGAAGTAGAGGAATTAAAGAGTATTATGGTATTTCTTGTAGGAATTAGACCTTACTCAACTGTGAAAGGACCTGAGGAAGTGAAGGTGCAGAATGGGATTTGGCAGATCAGAGGAGTCTCCAACTGTAGTGAGAAACCAAGTGTCTCCAGTTGACAAGTGGGACTATAAGGGGGAAGCTCATAAGGAGATGTGTGGAGAGCTATTACCCCTGTATCTATACCTAAGTAGAGGGTCTGGAGTTTCTTCTTTTGGTCAGAAGGATCAGTAGTTGGGATGCAGAATTAGATATGGAACTGAAATTTGCTGGGCAGCAGGTATCTATTTTCTGTCACCACTTTGGAGTAGGATGACCTCCAGAAGATAGTGGCTGCTGCTTTACTTCTGCCTTGATGGTATGTATTCCTGTTCTGGTCAATTTTAGATTAGAACCGAGTGGACATCGTACAAACTCTCACTGTCCACCCCTTCTTAACTTGGCATCAGTATTCACCCCTTATAACCATATTAACGTCCAAATAAAGACAGTAGCAAAATTATACTTCCACCTAACAAGATGCATCTTTCCCTTACACACCCAAACACATAACAACTTTCTCTTCAAGAAAAGAGACATAGCTTACTTTATCCATCTTTGGGTGATGTTTGTTCATTTTCTAGCTGAGTTGCACTTTGAATTTTTGTAACTTAAATACAGAGCTATAGGGTTGTTACTGTTGTTATTAAATGTCATTGAGTCGGTTCCGACTCACAGTGATCCTGTATAGGGTTTCCAAGGAACAGCTGGTGGGTTTGAACTATTGGCCTTGCAGCTCAAATCAACCACGGTCCAGGTTCAGTGCTTATCCTACAGCATCACACCAGGTTAACCACTAGTTGCTTGTGATAGACCACTAGTTCTGAAGACAGTTTGTCAACTGAAGGCAGTTTGTCCCCTAGGGAAAGTTTGGTAATGTCTGAACACATTTTTTTGTTGTCATGACTGGCGGGGTAGGCAGGGATCAATGTTACTGCCATCCAGTGGGTAGAAGCCAAGGAATCTGCTCATCCTACAATGTTCACACAGGCCTCCACAACAAAGAATTGTCTGGTTCCCAATGTCAGTAATATCAGCATTGAAATATACTGTGGTAGCTAAATGGGGTGGGGGCAGGGGTGTACAAATAAATAAAATGAGGTTCATATGTACAACATGGGGCCCTGATGTGGCGCTGTTGGATAAAGCACTGGACCACAAGGTCGGTTTGAACCACAAGGTTGAGGTTCAAACTCACCAGCCACTCCTTAGAAACCCTGTACAGGGTTGCTATGAGTCAGAACTGATTAGATAGTACTTATCAACAATAATATACAACTTATTACTCCTCCATAAAGAGAAACAAAGTCCTAATGCTTGTTGCAACATGGATGAACCTCTAAAACATTATGCTGAGTAAAATAAGTCAGTCACAAATGAACAAATAGTATATTACTCCACTTACACAAAGTTTCCAAAATAGGCAAAGTTTTTAGTGATTATCAGGGGTGGCCAGGAGAGAAGGGAAAAGGAGGGCTCGTTGTTTGGAGTGCATTGGCTTACGTTAAGGATGATGGAAATGTAGGGAAATAGACAGTAGGGTTAGTACTGGACTGTTAATCATCGGAGGTTCAAATCCACGAGCCTCCTTATGGTTATCATAATAAAAAGAGAGAGAGAATTGGTTAATATATAAACAAATACATTTCTTTCAAATAAGAAAGAAATACTTATTACCACATCCCCCTTTTTTGTAATTGATTGTATCTTAATTTCCTTGTTCTACTTGTTAAGTGCCTTTGAGTAGGTTTCTAGCTCGTAACAACCCTGTATAGGGTTTCCAAGGAGCATCTGGTGACCTTGAGCTACCAGTTTTGTGGTTCAAATTGACCTTACAGCTGAACACATATCCTACAGTGCCACACCAGGACTCCTTGTTCCACTACCCATTTAATATTCCCTTTGTCCTTGGCAGGCATCTCACCTGGTCTTGATTCCTAGTCTGGTGGTGGTGGCTATGTGCTATGGAGTCGGTTCCTACTCATAGTGATTCTGCACGGGGTTTCCGAGGCTGTAAATCTTTACGGGAGCAGAAAGCCTCATCTTTCTTCCGCAGAATAGCTGGTAGTTTCGAACTGCTTAACCTTGAGGTTTGCAGCCCAATTTGTAACCACTATGCTACCCAAACTTTCATTCCTGAATTGCTTGTGCCCCTAACAGCCCTGCCTGTTTTGGGTTGTTGAAGGCTCCCAATGTTGTAATCCTGTTGTGGCGCTGTGTGTTAATGTGCTGGATTGCAAAATTGGTTTGAACTACAAAGTCAGCAGTTCAAGCTCACCAGCTGCTCCTCAGACCCTGTACAGCATCACTATGGAACCTACTCAAGGCACTTAACAACAACAACAGGCTTCCATTATCTTTTATGTATGATAATACATAGGAGTACTAAGAGATGCCCCAGGAGATCGATATTCCAGACCCAACCTGTCTGTGTAGTAGCAATCCAGTTTTCCTTGGGAGTTGGTTACTGTCCTATTCAGTATAGTAATCCCTTCTTTGCCTGTTGATTCACTGTCATAAGGAACCCAAAGTGGCCAGGTGGAAGTCTCAACTTTCACTTAAAGAAACCATGGCTTTTCCTCTAATGGAAGCATTAGAGATTTATAGATCATCAGAGTCAAATATTCGAGGGATAGGAAGCAAAACAAATACAAGGTAATTGATCATTGAGGTAATAGTTGGTGCTGCAGAATAATGCATTGGACTGCACGGTCGGTTTGAAGGGCAAGGTCATCATTTTGAACCCACCAGCCACTCATCAGAAACCCTATTATACAGAGTCATTGTGAGTTGAAATTGATTTGATGACACTTAACAACAACTTCCATTGCTAACTCTTGGTTTCCAAACATGTGAATTCTGACTATGGGAAAAATAGCACATATATTGTTTACTGCTTTAGAGCTTATATAACAACATCGTAAGGTTGGTGGTTCAAACCCACCAGCTGTTCCTTGGAAACCATACACAGGGTCACTGTGTGTCGGTAACTGACTAAATGGCACATAACAACAACACAGTATCCTGGAGGACATTGCCTTATACCTGTAAGATGTTGCCAGCCAGCTGGTGCTGTAACCAAATTTTCAAAAGGCCTGTTCATTTTTTTTTCATAAGGCAGTTTCAGGATAATGGGGTAAATGATAAAATTAGTAAATTCCACAATCAAGAACCTGTTGCTGTACTTTAATTGCTTTAAAATAAGTTTACCTATCAAACGTGATGGATCTGTGTGAAGTACCCTGATAGTGCAGTTTTATACTTAGTGGTTTTGGCAAAAGCATATTATGGGCAGGGAAGACAAAACTATATCCATAGCTAGTGTCTTGCTGAGAACTAAATGCTACCTCATGATGAAGTGGTCCAAGGACTATACCAGTGACTTAGTTGGTCTCTGCTATTGACAGACTAAGCACTTAACTATGTCTTACACAGATCAGCACTGGTGTGTAAGTCTGTGTTTCTGAGCCCATATCACCTCTGTCCTTGATGTCATAATCATTTAGTTTATGAAACCATCAGGTAAGAACGGGGGAATGTGGGGAAAGAGACTGAGTAATGTCCACAGAACAAGTCATCTTGTCTACTTATTAAAATTTTCCTCTGCCAACATTACTCTTTTTTTTTTTTTTAAACGTTTTATTGTGAATTATGTGATGGTTTACATGGAAGAACATTAGCTTTACATTCATCCTTTTGTATATCGTT